TAACGAAGCTATTTTTCTAGAGTACAACAGAGGTATATGTGACTTTTGAGTGGATGTGGTGCTTGGAGGGGACATTGATGTGATGCAAGGAGCTGATGGGAATTTTCTTTAGGGCCCTGAGAAAGAAAGAGGAAGTTGTAATCAAGGAAAAAAGAGAAAGTGGCCATATGCGTAAGCATCCCTGATTTTGCCTTCCTCCACCTTGAACTACCACCATGAGGTTCTGTAATGGTTTCTAGGGCAAAACTCTTTCAAGTGCATCCTTCAGTTTCAAGGAAGAAATCAAAACAATGAAGTTTTGCCACCTGTCTTCCTCTATGGCTGGTAGTAAACCATTCATAAGAAATACTGTTAGTCATTTCCTTAATGCATTGTAGATACCATAACCAAAATTACAGATCATTTCACTTTCAGAAAACAAAAGTAGCACTTAAAGTCAGTGATAAAGCCCTTCAGTGCCAAGCATCCCTGGAAAGGTGAGATCAACATTGTAGAATACAAACTACTACTGATTTATCTGACTTCAGGAAAGAGAAAAATTTATAATGATATTGCTATAGAGTAATGAATCTCCTGGTCTAATGTGTCTGGTATGAGTTTGTGTTCTCTAAAGTCAAAGAATAAATTTTAGGAACAACAGAAATTAAGAGCACAATATACTTATTGAGAGAAAGAAAGCTACCTGAGAGAGAAGGGGTCCTGAGCGGGATGCCAAACACTGTCTTTCTAGGGACCTTTATAGAGTAAAATCATGTGGTGAGATGAGTTTAAGGTGGGGAAAAATCGGAATTTATAATCCAGATGGGCATAAGACGGGACAGAGCTATGGTAGCCAATAAGATTATAAGTTCATGTAAAGTCGATTAAATTGGGAAAAAAGGGGAAAGGGAGTCACATAGAAAGCAGGCATTCTTAGGCAGCAGTGACGTTTCCCTTAGGGTTTTGGGAGGGTGACTCCTGACTTCATCAGGATGATAGGAAATATTTAAAATGTCAGTCCTTAGGATAAGCATACTTTTCTTTGAATGGTGACTCCTGACCTCCTCAGAGTGCTATGGGACTATTTAGAATATCAGTCTTTAGGATATGGATGAATTTGCTTATCATTTGTCTTGAGACTTGGCCCATAGCATGAGGTGTCAGTCTTCCCCATAGTTGCACAGTGTCTCGTCTCCTGCATGGACTCCTTGGAGGACCTAGCCCTGCCTTATGCCAATACTATTTAAATAACTCAGGTGCCTGTAACAGTACTGTTTGGATAATTGATTAGAGATGTCTTGTGCTGTGGGTGAATGATCTGTGGATTACAGTGTGCAGTGTATATACCAGTGTTGCCCCCTGATTGACATGTTTTTAAATTTAATTTTAGTTGATGTGTTCTTTTTTCACTGAAATAGAATGGATAGGAAAATTAAAAGCCTGAGGTAAAGCTCTTCAGTACAAACACTCCTCTGGTCAAGCTGAGATCACCACTGTAGAAGAACGGCAGCTCCAGAAGTCTCTGCACTACAGTCTATCATTTGAGATCCTCTCTTGCAGGGAGGGGTGTCTTTCCCTGTTGATTCTTGACTCAGAAGGAGAGCAGTAGAGCAGGAGTCAATCAGTGATGAAGGCACAGGCTATATGAACTGTCAATTTTCAGGCCATTGCTGGCTGTGACTTTTGTCTCTTCTGGTGTCTCAGCATGATTTACCTTTTCTGAGTTATGATACTGGTAGCAAAACACTTGCTGCATCTCATTTAGTACTTTCGATGTCCTGTGGCCTGATTAGCAAAGAACCTGAGAGATCCTGGAGCCATGAAATGGTGAGGTTGTGGATGGGAGCCCAGAGTTAGGGTGGATTTGGTAAAACCAGTTACAAGTATGTAGAAGTAATTCCTGTGTCTGGAGCCTCAGGTATTTAGTTAGCTTCAGCTCCTGAGGTCCTCCAGCATTGGCCATGGGTCATTCACTCTCCCTTTTGCCTCTTGCTGTTGCCAAGGGTGATTTGGGGTCCCCAGATCCCTGGCTTCACTATTACAGCAGCAGACTCAAGTATCATCTTTGGAATTCACTGCTGGCCTAGAAACTCCACAATCTTAGTCATTGGAAGGAGCTTGAGAAGACCCTGACTATGATGTTTTTGTAGCTTGTAGAGCAGTAATTAGCTAGGTTTCTGCTCTCTATCCTCAGAGTAGAAGATCTGGAATGTCCAAAATTTATTAATGTCTGTAATGCAGGGTCTCATTGCCACAATGGTTCAACTTAAACTTGGGCTTTTTTGTATTTATAGTGATCTCCTCAATTTATAGTATGTTCTCATATTTACATCCTCATGACAGGTAGTGGCAAAGGTCCTGAGAATTCATAGATGTGTAGTAGTGTGCCTCAGTGGAAAAAGGCTTCCCAAACAACTCGTGAACTCCTGTGTATTATACAGATCAGTGCAAAATAATTTCTGAACATACTTAATTATTTAGGTGGCACCCTTGCTCACAGACTAGGTTTGTGAGCACAGCCATAGAGTTTTGATGTCTGAGAAAAATGAAGCAAATATGAAAGTGTTATCAAGGACAGGGTAAAAATTTGTGGAGGAAAAATTCCAGAAAGGGCTACCTGTTAAATTCTCATCAAAAAATGCTGAAATTCAGGCATTTGCATGCACATATACACGTGATATCCTTCTGAATGGAAAGGAATAGGTGTGTCATCTCTGAATTAAGAGCTGATTTAGTGTCTTGGTTGTTCAGAGACAGTTTAAATATGGAAATGCTCTGCAATGGAATTTATGAAGTGGTGTAAAGGAGAAGCGCTAAACAGAAATTTTGCAGTGGTATCAATAGTTAGGCATGAAGGGTTTCCTGCTGAGGATGGATCAGAGGAGTGTGGAAGGGATGTGCAAGTGACTGACAGAATTCAGGAAGCCAATAGCAGGACATACAACAAAGAGGGTCTTCACTGAAATTCAGGTAGTTCTTAGAGTAAGTGTAAAGTTAAAGTTGGTTTCTGATTGCTTCCTGGAGGTGATCAACACCAGCTCTGGCAACAATCAGTATTTCACATCCTTGTCAACCCATGAATTTTGTGTTCCATACTTGAGATCTAATTTGGATTATCTCTGATTATGCCCCCAGTGTCATGAAGGTAAAATGTGCATTTTTTTTTGTACCAAGGATCAAACTCATGACCTATGCTTTCCAGGCAGGTGTTCATGACACTGAGCTAAATACCCAAGTTTATCTTTGTTGTATGGAAGATATCCACATTGTTTCTCATAAAGTGTTGAATATTGTTGGAATTTTCCCATATTGTATGGCTATAATTTTTAAAAACAGACTAAAGGTGTCTTATGCAGTCTCTTTTCAAGTTTCACTTTGTCTGTGGGGTGTCTCAGTCAAGGTTTATCTACTTTAGACAGCTCTGTAACTTAGGATAGTCCCAAGTCCAAGGAAGAAGTCCTTCACCAGCCTCACAAGATATATTCCTTATACCTGAATTGGAAGTGATCGCTTGGTGACAGTGAGCTATAAATTACAGCTTGGGCCTGGTTCCATTTTATATACTTATTTTTTAAAAACAGCATTTTCCACTAACATTTGAGTTATTAGTTGTGTACCATATTGGAGGTTATTTATGTTTTGTTCTATGAAACCAAATTCATGTTTCAAAATGCTGCTGAGGTATATTAAGAACAAAGTACTCACTGGCCTAAATGAGATTTGAAGAGACATTATCTGAAGCCTATCAAAGTGATTGATGAAATTTTTTTTCCTTTTTTCAAATTTTGAAAGTGGTAAAATAAAACAGAACAAGGCAGAATAAGGCCAACTAAGATCATACAGTGAAATTGGTACACAACTTCACAACAGGTTACTGCGATAAGAGTAATAGGTATCACAGTATATTTTATTATCTTTATAATAGTTGTTCTTTCAAACACATATATCAAAATGAGATGAAATACAGAACATTATAGTACTTATCAAAACAGAATTTTGAATAGAGCAATACCATTAATCAGAATAGAGTAAAACGGTAATAAAAATATTTGCCTTCAAAGAGATAGTAGAAGGAAGTTCCCCTTATTTGTTATGGTCTGCTTCCCAGGAGACACTCAGATTTCTGTTCCCCATTTGCTAACGGGGGGTGACAGGAGAAGAGGGGTAGGGAAGTGGGATGTTTGATTCTTGGCCCTGCGTCAGTAGGTTCACTATTGCATAGTAGGGAGACAGGCTGGTTGTTTGGTTTCACAGCGTCCTATGTTCCCACATGGCGTGGATCTCAGGAGCTGCTGCTGGTTCTCCCCCGGAAGGGCCACATTCTGCCAGACCGCCACTGCTTACCAGGGAGAAGTGGTGCTTGCTTGCCTTCCAAGTGTCCTAAATTCCAGCATGGCATGGATCTCAGGAGCTGCTGCTGGTTTGCCCCCTGGATGGGCCCCAGTCTGCCACCCCGCCACCACTTACCAGGGAATGGAGGTGCTTGCTTGGCTTCCCAGTTGATTGATGGGATATTTATCTGTCTCTGTACTTTGTGGATGCTGGTCCTGCAGGCTTCTCACTGTGAGCTCTGCATTAGAGACAGTACACAGGGAATACTGCAGTGACTCAGCACAAGAATCAGTGCTCCTATTTCACTGTTACATTAGCAGTGAGTTGCAATCCAGCATCAAATTTGCTGTCTTCAAAAATGTGTATAGACACAAATGACCAAGACATAGATTTAAATTTGAAGACATCAGTCTTCATTCAGCTGTTTTGTTTGGTTGTATTTGTTTAGTTTTGTTTTGTTTTATTGAGACAAGCTTTCTATATGTATATCAGCTGGATTTGAATACCCTATGGAGCCTAGAATTGCCCTGAACTCACTGAAACCATCCTGCCTCAGCCTTTTGAGTGCTGGCATTATAGATATATACCACCACACTTTGCTTTTGATTCAGATTTGTAGGAGAGAATTTAAGATATCCCAAACCTGGTGTCTCAACCTTCGTGTGAGAAATATATGTATGATCCTTTAGGAGGCGGTGACCTTTGATGATGTGGTTGTGAACTTCAGCAATGAGGAGTGGACTTTGTTGAGTCCATCCCAAAAGAACCTCTACAGAGATGTGATGGGCGAAACCTTTAGGAACATGACTGCAATAGGTAAGGACAAAATACTTTTGTCACTCATGCTGTCAGAATGTTGTATGTCGCTCATCAGTGCTGTTTCATTAAACACAATGTGAAAATATTTTTAAAAATAACTGAGACCTGGACACATTATATCATAACTCTAAACAAAATCTATTAATTTGTATGTATTATTCTAATGAGCGCTGGTATTTCTATGTCTACAATTCAGGAGGACTTGGGAATATCCAGGAACCTGAAAAAGAATGCAAAATTTACTGGAGATACTTAAGGTAATTCGCACTCATAAGGAGAAGGAATGTTCCTGAGTAATTAGTGAGTCAGGAGAAAAATACCGCCAAGAAATGAGGCACCATTCAATTTATTGTCAGTAATATTATCCGAAGACATATAAGGAGTTATAACATTCTCCCTTCAGTTTTTCTACCCATATATACATGTGAATATAATACATTCATCATCTAAACATTACTAAGATTGCAATAGAATTTGAAATAAAATGGAGTTCTTGTGTTTCCAAGCCAAGCTCATAAATCAGCCATTCTGAATAAAATTCTTAGAAGGCTGGTAGAATGTTAAGTGCACTGATTCTGAGTATCAGTGTGCATTTGTCTCTAGAAATTGATCCCCTCATACTTGTCCTGGATATATTTTTAAAAATTCAAGATGCACATAAAATACTGGTACATGCTTACTCATTTACAAAGCAGATCAAGTTATAATTCATCAGGGCTTGAAGAAGCTTAGCTATCTATCACTGGATTTGTGGAGAAGGAAAATGTTAATAGACTTTCTGGATTGTGCATTCTTGTAAAAAGCACACTAGGAATCAGCTTTTGCAGAATGGCAAATTCAAGTTCAAACTTCACAGCTTAATGATCAGTGAAAATCTCTTAAAACACATTTTAAAAGCTATAGATTTTATGCTAATAGCTGTTGTTCATTCCCAGCATGGAAAAGAAAAAAAGTCTTATATAATGTCAAAAAATAAATAATATAATGTCATTTGCCATAAGAAATAGGTGGTTCTTTCTCCCATCAATTCGGTGAAATAGCTCAGCTATAAAACCTAAAAGTTCACAGGGTACCTTTTAGATGAGAAACCAAAATATAAATTGTGGAATGAAATGAAAGCGTTAATAAAGAAAAGTAAGACAGACCATATGGAAAAGGGAACTGCAGGTTAAGGACAGAAGGGAGATTGTGATGGGGAAACATATCAGAATGATCTGTATGTGATACACATATGTACCCATGCCCAAAGTGAAGGTAAACATTCCGTGTTTCAAAAGGTACCACATTTTAAGATTTCCAAACGTGTACCAGTCTTTTGGGAATGGTTGTTTTCAACATGTCTTACAAGGCCATTCTGTTAATTCACGGTAAGAATTTCTTAGAAGGCATTAAAAACAGAATTTGACATTAATGCAGTCATAAAACTGAGACCCATTTCACTGTGAGTGTTTCTTTTTTTATTTAATGTAAGAAAAGACTAAAAAAAACAAAATAAGTAGAAATGATACCACTTTCAAAGTGAAAATAAACAGTAAGATATATAAAGACAATGATTACATATGCTACTCATAGAAATACTTAATGAAATACAAAAGTGAAACTTATGAAGTGGGGATACACAGCGAGACTGCAAACAGTTTTGTTCAACTCTGCCATAAAAAATTAGTAATATGGTTATCAATCCTATATGTGATTTTTTTTACAGAAATGAAAAGCTAGGGAAATCCTATGGACATACATCTTGGAATCAGTGTAAAGAAGTATTCCTTTGTACTGCAGAAGGTAATGTGAATGTGAAAGAAGCAGAAACACACCACAATATTCAGATCCATGAAAAATATTGCAGTGGAGAGAAATCCTATGTATGTCAGCAATGTGGAAAAGGGTTCACCAAATCTGGACACTGTAAGCAACATGACATAATTCACACTGGAGAGAAACCCTATGTATGTAAGAAATGTGGGAAGGCTTTTAACACAAGGGGACATTTTAAGAAACACGAAAGAATTCACACTGGAGATAAACCCTATGTATGTAAGCAATGTGGCAAAGCTTTTAACACAAGGGGATATTTTAAGAAACATGAAAGAATTCACACTGGAGAGAAACCCTATGTATGTAAGCAATGTGGCAAAGCTTTGAACACACAGGCAAGTTGTAAAATACATGAAAGAATTCACACTGGAGAGAAACCCTACGTATGTAAGCAATGTGGGAAAGCTTTTACCCGACATGGACATTGTAAGCGACATGAAAGAATTCACACTGGAGAGAAACCCTATGTATGTAAGCAATGTGGGAAAGCTTTTAACAGATGGGGAGGTTGTAAGAATCATGAAATAATTCACACTGGAGAGAAACCCTATGTATGTAAGCAGTGTGGAAAAGGTTTTACCAATTCTGTACATCGTATGCAACATGAAAGAATTCACACTGGAGAGAGACCATATGTATGTAAGCAATGTGGGAAAGCTTTTAACACACGGGGAGATTGTAAGAAACATGAAAGAATTCACACTGGAGAGAAACCCTATGCAAGTAAGCAATGTGGGAAAGCTTTTACCCGACATGGACATTGTAAGCGACATGAAAGAATTCACACTGGAGAGAAACCCTATGTATGTAAGCAATGTGGGAAAGCTTTTACCCAACATGGACATTGTAAGCGACATGAAAGAATTCACACTGGAGAGAAACCTTATGTATGTAAGCAATGTGGGAAAGCTTTTAACAGATGGAGAGGTTGTAAGAATCATGAAAGAATTCACACTGGAGAGAAACCCTATGTATGTAAGCAGTGTGGAAAAGGTTTTACCAACTCTGGACATCGTATGCAACATGAAAGAATTCACACTGGAGAGAGGCCATATGTATGTAAGCAATGTGGGAAAGCTTTTAACACACGGGGAGATTGTAAGAAACATGAAAGAATTCACACTGGAGAGAAACCCTATGCATGTAAGCAATGTGGGAAAGCTTTTAACACACGGGGAGATTGTAAGAAACATGAAAGAATTCACACTGGAGAGAAACCCTATGTATGTAAGCAATGTGGGAAAGCTTTTACCCGACATGGACATTGTAAGCGACATGAAAGAATTCACACTGGGGAGAAACCCTATGTATGTAAGCAATGTGGGAAAGCTTTTACCCGACATGGACATTGTAAGCAACATGAAAGAATTCACACTGGAGAGAAACCATATGTATGTAAGCAATGCGGGAAAGATTTTAACAAAAATGGACAGTGTAAGGTACATGAAAGAATTCACACTGGATAGAAACCATATGTATGTAAGCAATGTGGGAAAGCTTTTACCCAACATGGACATTGTAAGCGACATGAAAGAATTCACACTGGAGAGAAACCTTATGTATGTAAGCAATGTGGGAAAGCTTTTACCCAACATGGACATTGTAAGCGACATGAAAGAATTCACACTGGAGAGAAACCTTATGTATGTAAGCAATGTGGGAAAGCTTTTAACAGACGGGGAGGTTGTAAGAATCATGAAAGAATTCACACTGGAGAGAAACCCTATGTATGCAAGCAGTGTGGAAAAGGTTTTACCAATTCTGTACATCGTATGCAACATGAAAGAATTCACACTGGAGAGAGACCATATGTATGTAAGCAATGTGGGAAAGCTTTTAACACACAGGGAGATTGTAAGAAACATGAAAGAATTCACACTGGAGAGAAACCCTATGTATGTAAGCAATGTGGGAAAGCTTTTACCACACCTGGACGTTGTAAGGATCATGAAAGAATTCACACTGGTGAGAAACCATATGTATGTAAGCAATGTGGGAAAGCTTTTACCCGACATGGACATTGTAAGCAACATGAAAGAATTCACACTGGAGAGAAACCCTATGTATGTAAGCAATGTGGGAAAGATTTTAACACACATGGACAGTGTAAGGTACATGAAAGAATTCACACTGGTGAGAAACCATATGTATGTAAACAATGTGGGAAAGATTTTACCCGACATGGATATTGTAAGCAACATGAAAGTTCATATTCAAGATAAAACCAGTGTATATAAGCATCATGAGAATTTTTGACCACAATTACATATTGCATAATGCATGAAAAACTTCACACTGGGCAGAAAACTTATATATCTAAGGAATGTGGGAAAGGTTTCAGCAGAAATGCTCATTGTCCAATACATGAAAAAATTTACCCTGTTGAGAAACCCTGTTTATGTGAAGAATGTGGGAAAGCTTTCACCACACATGGATTTTGTAAAATACATCAATGACTCCACACTGGTCGAGAAACCCTATACATGTAACAATGTGGCAAAGCTTTTACCACATACAGTCATTGCAAAACAGATGAAACAATTCACAGTGGGATGAATCACTGGCTACGTAAGCAAGTGGAGACACTTTCAGCATCCAAATTGTAAGTGAAATACATGAAGAAACTCACACAAGAGATAAATCGTATGTGTTATGGGAATACTCTCATCACACATGATCATTGTTACATAGCTGAAAGAGCTCACTGGATCCTATGTGTATTAACAGTGTGGAACATATGGCAATCCATATTTATTGTTAAATACATAGAAAAAGCAGCACTCTTCAGATAGTTTAGATCTAAGTTTATTTTAAAAATTCCAAGTAGACCTGAAGAAATAATCAATACAGAAGTTTGATGTCAATATTTCTTCACGATTTTCCAGAAATGACAAATCTGAAGTGGAGCTCTATTCAAGTACACATTTTGTATGGGTTTCAGTTAATCACTTATACCTCTTTAGATTTTTTAATGTGTCTGTGCTTCAACATGGCATCTTGTAATTAAACATGGTAAACTGAAATGGGCTTTTTACTTTCAAGTATGGATAGTGTCTATGTACTTAACATTTTGTCTTTAAAACTTAATTTTCATATTTTTGTGAATTTTTATTTAAAGAAAAAAACCAAAAAGTGTAGAAATAATACAGAATTTCTGAAAAATAAACAATAAGAAATCACTAGTGATTAATTACATATTGTCATCTTAGAGGTAATTGTTCAAGTTACAAAATTAAAGTATACAAAGTGATATTCAAATAATGACACTGCGAACAATTTACCTCAGTGATCCAAAAAAACTTATTAATATGCTTATCTGTTCTACAAACTTGTTTTTTTATCTTAAAGATGGTAAAGTTAAACATGACAAAACAGAACAGTTCATAAGGAAACAAGTTAAGGAAACAGGTTTCAAAGCAAGTCCACTGAGATGTTCATTGTCTATCTTACTGTCTCTAGTTTTCTTCAAAATAGTTGTTCCCATCTTCACAAGCATTGAATATATACTGAACATTATAGAACTAATCAAATAATTACAGGATGATGCAGGCTTTTTTGAACTTCAAGACTGATGTTGGGGAAGTTGATAATGATTACCATAATGTGTCTCGTTCTCTTC